TTATATACTATTTCTCTTGTGTGAGTGCATTAGCTAATATCCAAAACAATATTAAATAATAGTTCAAATCCTTCTCTTTTTTTATTATTTTAATGAGAATGCTTTTTTGAAGATTCTCCATTTAACATGTTACTGGATTTGGAGATATGTATATATGTGTGTGTATGTGTTTAAACACAAATATAGACACGTGCATGTGCACACATAAAACCAGTAGTGTCATATATATATTTTGTGGTATTATTCATTTGTTCTAATTTACTGAAAGATTAAAAATGACCAGGAAGATAATGGATTTTGTCAAATGTTTCCTAACATATAGCTTTGCTCTTTGTAATTATTAACATGTTGATTAATATTAATAGAATTTCTATATATTAAAACTATTTTTGTATTCCCAAAACAAAATCCATTTTGGTTATGCTATATTATTCTTTTAATGTGCTTCAGATGTATTTAATTATATTTTACTCAGAATTACTGAGTTTAAATTCATAAAATAATGGTTTCCCTATTTTGTGGCATATAGTAGATATTCAATAAAATTCACTGAGTGGGTATTTCTTACCATTTCCTGCCCTATGAACTCTGATGTTATTTTGTACATGAATACACATGAGAATGGAACCTTTCTTAAGCATTTCAATAGTCATTATAAAGTAACTTTCTAAGACTCTTAAATGCTTTTTTGCCTTAAAGTCCATCTTTTCTAATATTAATTCTGAAACCCCTGTTGTCCTTTGTTGCCACTTGCCTGGTGTTTGCCCACTTTTTAGGTACAATATGATGTTCATTAAACAGTGTTCATCAATTAATTCACTAATATTTCAGAGTATCTACCATATGCCAGGCATTGTGCTAGGTGGGGGAATACAAAAATGAACATACAAGCACGGTTTCCACTCACATACAGTTTATATAGTAGTCACTAAATAAATTACAGATTTTAGTTTTATTACTAGTTACCTTTATAACCGAGGAATCTGCTCCTGGTTAAAAACCTCTATGTGATTTTTTTTAGGCTCATATATAGGCAATTACAAAGGCTGTCCCCAGCAGAAAAAGGCTTCCCTGGGTAAGCTGTCCTAATACTCCAGAACTGGTGCATGGCCAGTGCATCTTAGTCTCAGAGGGAGATTGCAGTCAAGGTCTTGGGCCTCTTGGCCAGTCACGCTCTTCACATATTTGTATTTCTAGGTGTCTTTAGCTGAGGCCTTGGGTAGAGGTCCTCTTCAGGCGCCATCTATTTCTGCCAAAACCTCCTTACAGGAGGGAGAAACCTTGAAGATACTTCTCCCCTCTTTGACTAACAGCACTTTCCACACCTAGCCTGACCCTCCCGGCCCCGACCTTCCACAACACTAAGGTCTCCCTCAACAGTGGGCTGGCCCCCATGTCTGTGCTGATCCACCAACTCTACCAACGTGCTCTTACAGGGGGAAATAAAACAGGGGTGTTTGCATGTTCTTTGCTTTTTCAGAGACTTGCTTTTATCAACACAATATGTGATTAAGGCCTCACTCTTCCATTTTGCCATGTTGCTTTTATCAGCTACTCAGCCCTCTGACAGCTCAGTTGTCTTTCCCAGCTCAGCTGAGCTCTTTACAATAACATTAAATATTGTCCTAAAAATCTATAGCTTCATTTACTTTTCAAAGAACAGACATAGTTTTTTTGTGTGTGTTTTTTTAAATATATTTTATTGGTTTTTTACAGAGAGGAAGGGAGAGAGATAGAGAGTTAGAAACATCGATGAGAGAGAAACATCAGTCAGCTGCCTCCTGCACATCTCCTACTGGGGATGTGCCCGCAACCCAGGTACATGCCCTTGACCGGAACCGAACCTGGGACCTTTTAGTCCGCAAGCCGATGCTCTAGCCACTGAGTCAAACCGGTTTTGGCAGAACAGACATAGTTTTTGAGTCTCATTTTCCTTTTCTACTTCAATTACATTATTATTTCTATACTGCAACAATTTACATATTCACCCTGATTTCTAACCATAATTTCTTTCCTAACAAGGCAGCTTCATTCCTAGGTTTTCTACTTTGATTCATCTCTTGCTTAGATTAAGTGACTGAGTCTTTTTTTTTTTTTTTTTAAGAAGCACTATGGGTCCTGTAGTTCATGAGTTGCTGTAGGTTTTTGTTTTAGGAATTTTTTCATCTATTTCAGTTAATATTTTGGTTCCATTTGTTTTATCATCTTCAGAGGCACTAATTACGTTTATTATGGATCACTTTTGTCTTTAGTAGTTATTATTTATTCTGCAACATTCTGATCTATATTCTTTTCCATTTATTTTGCTTTATTTTTCTCAAGCTCCATTCTTTTCTCAATTCTGACATGACTTTTATTTCTATAATCATTTCATTTTTCTCCTGTTTGTTTTTTTCCAGACCACTGATACTTTTCAATTCCTACTATTTATTGCCTTATTGATTTTTGAGCTGTTATATATGTTTGAGTTCTTGTTTTGAAGATATCATGTTTTATTTTAATGCTTCAAGCTCCTGGAGATGTGTTTGAAATTTTATTGTTTCTTAACATAATTTTTCTGTTGTATATTCTGCTTTTTATATGTTCTTTGCCTTATTTAAAACATACTATCTTAGTATAGCCTCCAACTGGTTCCTGTCTAATTATTATTCATTTTTTTAATGAAGGTTACGTGAATCTAGAACTTTGCTAAAAGATAGGTGAAACTGTGGCAGCTCTATTCAGAACAACCACACTGTCCCCAGGAAGAACCTGCAGTGTCCTTTAACCTAAGAGCGTGCCTCTGGCCCTGATCCATGTTCTCATATTCAGGGCAGGCAGGAAGCCTGCAGAGGCTGCAATGACTCTTTCAGCCTAGTTATCTATATTTTTAAATGTCTCTTCTGATTTTGAACAATCGCTGAGTATATTTTGTCTTCTCCCTTGTCATTCTTCCCTTTTTAATTTTGCACAAACTACGTAGAGGTTTGCATGCAGTTTTGCCACCGTCATTCAGTTTTGTCCCAACTCCACTGCACTGACACTATTTTTCATAGTTTTTTGTTGTAGCTTATGGCTAAATCCTATTTTAGTTAGTAATGATTTTCCATCCTCTCTTTTCTCTTCTTATTTCTATTAGGAAAATAAATAAAGTTTTGGAGTAGAAATCTATTTTCTATGCCACATTCAATCAGTCATCCCCAAAAAAATGGTTTACAAATCCAACTTCTGCTCTAAATAGTAAGTTCTTAAAGGCAAAGACTATATCTTAGTCATATTCAACTTCCCTTGAGAAGTTGAATGCCTTTCATAAAGCAAATGTTCAAATGATGAGTATATATGGTTCTATAACTTAAAATCCCTAAAGCCTCTCATTACTCCTAAGTTCTCCATTAACTTTCTATCCCTTTTCAAATATGAGGTGGAATCTATCAATAGAAAAAGACCCAGCAATGAAAAAGATGATGAAATTAGCCAAGATTTTACAACAGTCATTATCAATATTATCAATTTGTTCAAAGACATAAAGGAAAATAAAAACATGAGGAGACAAATTGAAAATATGAAAAAGAATTGAAACTTCTAAAAATGAAAAAGAAAATAACTGAAATGAAAAATTACACAATGAAAAATAAAACACACAAAACCCTGTATAGCAATATAGTATCTTCCAGTAGAATGATATGAATATATGTCTTTAGTAGTATATATATATATATATATATAGTATATATATATATATATGTATATATATATATATATATATAAATATATATATATATATATATTTTTAGTGGCCAGATTATTATGACCACCTGACGTTTGTAGGCAAATTAGCTATAATTTCACGCTGAAGTTGCTAGAGGGCCAGACCATTATAAACGTCTGAATAGCACAATATACCTAAGTATCATTGCTGATCAAGTTCATCCTATCATGTTGATGGCGTATCCCAATGGAGATGGCTTCTTCCAACAAGACAATGCGCCATGCCACGGTGCTCATATTGTGCAGGAGTGGTTTCAAGAACATGAGGGAGACTTTACCTTGCTTAGGTGGCCCCCACAATCACCAGATCTCAATCCAAATGAGCATTTGTGGGACAAAGTTAAAAGAGCCATCAGGCAGCTGGTTCCACAACCATCAGATCTCACAGAACTGGACAGTGCTATTCATCAGGCATGGTGTCAGATTCCTCACATCACCTTTCAACATCTCATGGAGTCAATGCCAAGAAGAATCGCTGCAGTATTGAAGGCAAAAGGTGGCCCACCGCAGTACTGATGGGGTGGTCATAATAATCTGGCTGGTCATAATAATCTGGCCACTCAGTGTGTGTGTGTGTGTGTGTATTTAAGAGACATAAATAAAATATTTAATACACACACACACACACACACACATATAAAATCATAGGTAAGTGAAGATAGTAAGCAGCCTTCACCTGACACAAGGACAGTGCTTAGTAACTGCCAGCTTTTAGTGCTGTGACTCGTGCATGGTGGGGGGCGGCCTGCAGGGATCAGCCCGCTGTAGGAGTGCCGTGCACTGACCTCCAGGGGGCAGCTCCTGCATTGAGCATCTGGTTGAACGGTCGTTCTGGTCATTCCACCGTTTGGTCGCTGGGCTTTATTACATAGGACTAGAGGCTCATTGCACGAAGAGATTCGTGCAATAGGCTTTCCCTTCCCCCGGCTGCCAGCACCGGTTTACCTCCGGCACCCGGAACCCAGGCCTTCGCTCCAGCCACTCGCTCCAGCCGCAGCGGAGAAGCCAAGCCTCTTCAGCCATCAGTCTTCGCTCCATGCCTGTGTATGCAAATTAACTGCCATCTTTGTTGGGTTAATTTGCATACTCATCTGATTGGCTGGTGGGCATAGTGGAGTGACACCAATCTGCATGTTTCTCTTTTATTAGTGTAGGTAACTTATCATTGAATTAAGATAATAGTATCTTGCAGTGTTTTTCAAACACATTCTCCTTGCTATATGCTTATTAAAATAATAATAATAGCTACTCACTTCAATTGTCTTGGCTAGTAACTGTGTTTGAGGAAAATTATACTTGTATACTTCATTAGCAACATCGTTTACATCAATGGCAGCCACCACATGTGCAGGTATACCGCTTTCTGTAATGAGAAATGGAATATCTTAAAATGTAAAGTCCTTAACATCGATTTTTTCATTATAGAGAAGTCAAAATAATGAATTTTGTAGTACATTTCCTCAATTCTTCAATTATCTAGTTCAGTGATTTTCAACCACTGTGCCACAAAAACTTTTAAAACATGCAATACCTGGCTATTTAGTCAGGGGCACTGATTCTTTTCCCTTAGATTGTCAAATAAAAAAATGACAACAGTAAACACAATAGCTGTCCAGTGTGAATGAATCAAAATTATACCTATTTTTTTGGCAGATTGGCAAAAAATATATTTTTTGGTGTGCTGCAGAATTTTAGTAATTAGTTTATGTTACTAATGAGATGGAAAAGGTTGAAAATCGCCGATCTAGTTGAATTTCAGATTATCAACTGACAGCCAGCCCAGGTATGAAGTGGAATATTTAGTACGTCTGGTTCATCTCTCTAACAGCATTCCAAAGCTAAAAATAAGATTTAAATGTTTTAGTCATTATCTCTTATATTTGCTTCCCACACTCCATTAAGATATATATTTATGAGTTAAATAGAAGGTTTTCCTAAGTTAAACCAAAAATAGGAAACAAATATATTCTTAAAAGCCATATCACTTGGAACCTTAGATAAATAACTATTAATTGTTCCTCACCTTCTAACGTCAATACAAAGCTGCTCTTAATACCACTGATAATGCTTTTCAGTAAGTTGTGTTTTTTTAAGTAATAGGCTGATTGAGATATAACTCTCATGACACAAAATTAACCCATTTAAGATTTAGGTAAGCTTTTAAATGAGATGAACAATCAATGGGCATCCAAATGTAAAAAGTTCACAGATCAAATATTAAAAATCTGAACAGAATGGGAGAGAATATAAGAAGAGTAATGAAAATAATTACAAGGGCATACCTTCAACTGTCTTGCTGCTAAAGGAAAGCATGTTGAAAATGCTTTAAGATTCAGAAAATTCTGCCATAGTCTTTAAATGGCAATCAAAATTTGAACTACTAGTATGTAAGAATAGCTGCTGTTATATTTTGCAATTACCATCTTCTTTGCCCTTCTTCCCCAAAACACACTATGTGTTTACCCTGTTCCAAGTCAAGGGAAAAATTGAAGAGTTTTAAAAATAACAGTATTTCAGACCTCTTAGGAAAACCATCAGAGAAAATATTACAAAAGTACATAGTAGCTTCCAATAGCTATTTCTTTAATACTCATTTGCTGTTACTAGCTTAGATAACCCAAGTATCAAAAAAAAAAAAAAAAAAAAGGATGTGAAGAGCTAGGGTTCATGAAGAGGCATCTATAATAAAAGCGTAATATGCTAATTAGACTGGACGACCTTCCAGATGAAGCCAGGGCTGCGAAGGAAGGCCTACTCTTGCACGAATTTCATCTAGACATAAAACACAAGATGGGGCAACAGAGAAGGCTCACACATTTAGAAATCACAACCATACACTGAGGCCTAGAGGAGGTGATGCCAGAGAGAAAAAAAGGGCATGTATGTCTCTTAAGTAAATATATACTCCCCCTGTCCCATAATAATAGTAGCAGTTGATGAATGTAATTTGTCCCATAATAATAGTAGCAAAAGAAAATAAATATAGAATGCAACATTTATTATCAAAAAACTAGATTAAATTAAAAATAAATTAAAAATAGTACTCCTAATTTTTACTTTGAGTGTTCAGATAGTTTCTGGATTTTTCAATAATTTCGTTACTGCATTTTAAACTTATAGGTAGGATCCCTTGGCTGCGAAGCTTTGCTTTCCCTATATGCATGAGCTTAAAATTATTGGAGCCATTGTTCTTCATTGCTTCCAGCATAACTTGTTGAACTGATGGAAACGTATTATCCAGTATTTTGGGAGAAATATAATCAAAGGCTAATATGGTGCCTCTTCTGCCAAGGGGAATATGTCTAACTTTTTCAAGTTTTTCTCCATAATCTTTGCATTTACATCCACAGTTTTGTTTTTTCAAAGAATTAACATTAGTATAAGATTCTCCTTGACAATTATTTTCGGAAGCACGTTTCCAAATTCTTGATATGGTCATTCTGTTGCACTTAAATTGTTTTGCAGCTAACGTAATTGGACCTTTCTGAAACTTTTCCTTTTTCTTTTGATGCATCAAGAACTGGACAATCGCAACTCGATCTTTGCTTGAAAACTCTCTTTTTTTCATCTTACTTTTACAATGGGTTGATATTCAACTGAAATAAAACAATTGATTTCGATCAGCAGATGAAATTAGAAAAATAGTTACAATTCGTAATAATTAGATTAACCTAAAAATTGAAAGATGTGTCAAAACAAATGACAGATGTCATGAAACATTGATTTTGATTGAAAGCTTCACAATTTTGCACTACAACACAACTTACAGCTGCATTCGCCAATAATTCCCATTTAATTATTCACTTGCTACTATTATTATGGGACAGAGGGAGTACTAAATATCTACTGGGCTCAAAACACTGGGTTAGGACCAATTATCTCCTAGGTACCCTGCTGCCTTGTATACAGGTCACAGGAAACTTTGAATTCCTATTAGTAATATCACAGGTAGCTACCTCCAATTGAGTGTAAATTAAATAACTAGTTGCCATAATCTAATCTAATAAAAGAGAAACATGCAAATTAACCATACCTTCACTCCCCCAAGCCACGCCCACCAGCCAATCAGAGCAACTATATGCAAATTAACCCAATCAAGATGGCGGCTGGCAGCCACGGCGCGGGAGCAAGCAGGAGGCTTGGTTGCCCTGGCGATGGAGGAAGCCAAGCTTCCCACCTGCCCTGGCTGGCTGTGGCCTCCGCTAAAGGCAACAAAGTTTCAATTATAGAAGATAAATAAATCAATAAATCCCAGATACCTGCTTCCAGCCAGCCTCCACTGGGAGTTGGGTGGCTGGGGGGCATGGCCACGCTGCAAACAGCCATCAGCCCCTCACCCAGGCTGGCCACACCCTCATGGGGTGAGGGTCCCTGCTGGGGGTCTTGGCCAGCCTGCAAACAGCCATCAGCCACTTATCCAGGCTGGCCAGGCACTCCAGCAGGACCCCTACTCCCTGAAGGGGTGTGGCCAGTCTGAAAATGACCCTCAGCCACTCACCCAGGCTGGCCAGGCACCCCAGTGGGACCCCCACCCTGATCCGAGACACCCTTCAGGGCAAACCAGCCAGCCCCCACCCATGCACCAGGCATATAATAAAAGGGTAATATGCAAATTGACACTAACAGCAGAACAACTGGGAATGACTGGTCACTATGACACACACTGACCACCAGGGGGCAGACGCTCAATGCAGGAGCTGCTTCCTGGTGGTCAGTGCACTCCCACAAGGGGAGCTCTGCTCAGCAACAAGCCAGGCTGATGTCTGCCAGCACAGCAGTGATGGCGGGAGCCCCTCCCGCCCCCTCAGCAGCGCTAAGGATGTCCGACTGCAGCTTAGGCCTGGTCCCCGCTGTCAAGTGGACATCCCCTGAGGGCTCCTGGGCTGCCAGAGGGATGTCTGACTGCCAGCTTAGGCTCAATCCCCTGGGGAGCGGGCCTAAGCCAGCAGGTGGACATCCCCCGAGGGGTCCCAGACTGCAAGAGGGCACAAGCTGGGCTGAGGGACCCCCCCCGAGTGCACAAATTTTTGTGCACTGGGCCTCTAGTATAAAATAAAGATATAAACTATATCTTTGTCAAAAGCATCAGAGAGATCTTGAAACATAAATAAAAAAGGCTTTTAAACAATAAAAAAAATTAGTATATAAAGATCACTTTGCAAAATCACCTATTATAATTCAGGTCAAGAACTAAGCTACTACTAACCATCATAAAAGCTCAGAATTAAATAAACTTCACTGAATAATTTAATTGTTTTGCTAAATAAAAGATGTAATTTGCAATATAGGCAACAAGTTGAAAGTGCCTAGAGTTGGTTAATACAATTATCTAAGCAAGCAAGAATCATGCACGCACACGCGCGCACACACACACACGCACGCACGCGCGCACACACACAGCATTTAAACAGCAATAATGTTCCTTCTTTTTCTGATCACTCTTTCTGGAAAGATTGTGTGGAAGTGTCACTCTGCTTAGTAGTAGTGAACAAGTGCATTTCTTCTTTTCCTTCTTTACAATTTATTTTCTGATCTACATCTCATATAAGTGAGTAATTATTTGAATTACCTCCTTAAAAGCACACCTGAGACATCTAATCAGGTATGTTAACACTGACATCTAGTTGTGAAATGGACGATCAGCTGAAGACATCCAATGTCTGTTTCATTTAAAGTAATAGCTTCATTAAGAATAAAAGTACTAAGCAAAACCAGACCTGCAAGGACTCTAAATTTAAAATCATTGCCAAACATTTTATCACTATTAGCAAAGTACATTTGTTGTTTTGTTTTGAATACTTTTGTATTTCAAAAATCACAAATTATTTCTGTGAAATAAGATAAAAAGTAAGCTTAAAAAATATAATTTTTAACCCTTATAAGTTTAACTAGTAGTCAACCAAAACCAATTTACTTTGGGTTAAGACATACTCAATCAAGGGTGGAGAACATCTGGCCCGTGGGCCATATAAGGCCTCAAAATCATTTGGTCTGGCCCTGCCAAGGCATTAGGGGTGAGTTAATTAAATGCTTGACCAAATATTGTAAGCTAATTTTTAAGTTGATAATTTTGTATGGCCCATAAATGACGTTATAAATACCCAAATGGCCTTTCCGCACCTGCTTTTATTATGGCCAACCAAAATATATTTTTTAAATATATTTTTATAGATTTCAGAGATGAAGGGAGAGGGAGAGATAGAAACATCAATGAGAGAGAATCATTGATTTGCTGCCTCCAACACACCTCTTACTGGGGATCGAGCCCTACAACCCAGGCATGTGCCCTTGACCAAAATCAAAGCCAAGACCCTTCAGTCCCCAGACCAACGTTCTATACATTGAGCTAAGCCAGCTAGGGCC